CCCATGAATGAGGGCACCCCTCAGTCTCCTCTGCTCCAAGCTCAAGAGCCCCAGCTCCCTCAGCCGCTCCTCATCAGGGAGATGCTCCACTCCCTCCATCATCTTTGTGGCTCTGCACTGGACTCTTTCAAGCTGTTCCTGTCCTTCTTGAACTGAGGGACCAGAACTGAACACAATATTGCAGATGTGGTCTCACCAGGGCAGAGCAGAGGGAAAGGAGAACCTCTCTGACCTACAACCACCCCTTCTCATACACCCCAGGATGCCATTGGCCTTCTTGGCTCAAGGGCACATTGCTGGCTCATGGTCATCCTGCTGGCCACCAGGACCCCCAGGTCCTTTTCTGTCTGGCAGCTCCAGCCACTCATCCCCAAGTAACCTGAACCTATATTTTATATTCTTCCAGGTAATAGTTTGGGGAGACTACGGCCGAATGGACCACAAATGCTTCATGGGAGTTGCCCAGATCCTTCTGGAGGAGCTGGACCTGTCCAGTGTCGTAATAGGCTGGTATAAATTATTTCCACCTTCATCACTAGTGGACCCAACCTTGACTCCCCTGACACGCAGGGCGTCCCAGTCATCTCTGGAAAGCTCAACTGGGCCTCCCTGCATTAGATCGTAGTCGCAGGTGCTGTCTGATAGAAGCGTCACCCAGGATAGCAATTGGAACCATGATCAAAAAACACTGTTGGAGAGAGACAATCACTTCTGTTTCTGCTTGTAGTAGTTACCCCAAAATATGTCTGTTTGTCGAGAGATGGCTTAAATTGACAGAACAAAGGTATATCACATACGGCCAATCTATTAGCGGCTATCACTGATGCTTATAATGATCCAAAAATAAAACAAAAAAAGAGAGAGAGATGCCTTTAGATTCGACCCAAGTCAAAGATGAGCCAAACTGGAAGCTCTCCCTCTGTTAACAATGTTGTATTTTTCCCATTTTGACAGAGCCCTCAAGCAGTGTTACCTTCCTGGTGTTTCAGCGGTTTTTTTCTGTACTTGTCACTTCCACTAGTTTTTTGCCATGTGGTTCTGCTAGTTTTGTAGAGGTCCTCACCGCGCTGACAGAGACCCTTCCTTTCTTTTTCTAAACCAAACCAAAAAGGGCTGAAGCATATCTCTGTAAGCATCGTTAAAATGTTCAACAGCCATAGTTACGGTTTCAGCGAGTTCAAATCGCTTCTCCGTTCTGGTACTTCCCAGTCTCTCCTGTGGGAACCCAGAACGAATGACCAATCGAGGTTATATTCTTAAAAAAACAACAAATAATCATCACAGTGCCACTTTTTCTTTGTAAAAAAAAAGCAGATATGTTTGCATTATATATAATAACATCTTTTATGTTTATGATGTTTTGCATGGAAGAATTTTGAAGAATTCTGCAACTACTGCTGGGGACTGGTATAAAAGCAGCTTTAGTCTTAATTTTGACATTGAATATGTTACTGGTAATGCAGTTTTCCTCCTAGAAACGGAGAGGAAATATTTACGTTTCTGTGTATAAATGTATATTTGACTTCCCAAAATGTTGACCAGGAATGGATTGAGCATATGACACTTTCAGCTGTACCCAGGCTTCTCTGATGTGTGTCGCTTCAGACGCACCCGTCTGCCCTGGATAGAGCATGGTATGAGTTGTTCGGTGTTTCACTGGAAATTCCAGTCGAAATATTCTGCACTTACTAATGTTTTTATCAAATTTTAGTTTACATTTCTTTGAGATCGATGCAAGCACAAGGCTTGATTTTTTAACGCAAGATATCTTACTTTTTGGAGTAAAAAAAAACAAAAAAAAAACCTGTCAAATTTCAATTTGCTTTTTATTCATTTGAGTTCTCCTTGGCCTTGAAATCCCTTGTGATATTCTGTAAATGTGCGAACAACTGCAGATTCCTGCAGGTGCATTGATATGTTTCCCCTCCTTTTACGGGCCATTCGATTTTGTGATCACACAACTAGAGCAGCATGACTTGGAACTGTTCAAAGCTGCATGCACGTTTTGTAAAAAAAGAGATGAAAAAGGTTATTTAATAATGTATGTTAGTTCCACATAGGCCAGCTTGTATGTTGCATGTACTTGTACAGTTTGCTCGTAATTACTATACTGAAGTAACCAAGAAATCTAAGCCATCCATTTTTCTTATAGACATTTTGCAGGTTTTAGCCAGGCTAGGTCTGTGAGTCTGGTGCTAAATGTCTATAGATGGACTTTATTTTTTACCCTATGGAAAACGTGATGTAGTACGGACCAAATTCCTTCTAATAACTATTTTGGTGTAGATTCCTACTGTGGGGCTGTAACACATGTAGAAACTGTGTACACACTAGGTTTTAATCCATAGACATACTGCCTGCACCAAGTGAACTATTTATTATAACTCAACACGTGGGAATTCCTCTGCCCATCTTTCCATAGGGCGACGATTGGTTACTGCTCGACCTGCTGAGCAGGAAGAACTCAAGCATTGGTGCACTACTACTAGATCCTGTTCTGTCTTAGTGGCCAAAAACCAACTAGTTATAATTCGATAGTATCTTTCTATTTCGACCACTTGTCTTAACACTCCCCTGTGCTTTTAAATGAACTTCCAACTCATGTTATGTAAACATGTTTAATAAAACTTCCTTTTCATGTCCAGTGTAGTAGTTGTGCTCTCTCTGTATGTTCTGAGGTCCATCTGTGATCCTGCTCGCTGCAGGACTGTGTGAAATGTGTTAAGGAACAGTAAAATGACGAGTAATCTCTATGGTTCTTTTGATCGCTGTAATAGTGTACGTTGAAATCTGGGGCCGAACGCCGAGGCCTGCTGAAAGTCGTGTTTGGTTGGCTGCCTTTTCACCGAGAAAGGAGCCAAATTGTGCTCTCATTCATTGAAACAAGCAAATTGAAGTCAAAACCAAACTTACCCAGCCAAATAAGACTCTGGTGCAATCGAATCAGCTTATTGGAGTTGAGCGGTGCTGCGTCTGCTTGCACCGGGTCGGCGGGGCGGTGCGTGGTAGAGCCCGACACCAGCTCCGCATTTGGGGCGTGCTGAGCCTTTAAGACATGAGAACAACAACTCATCTTTTGCACTTTTTAAACCCCGAAATACGCCCTTGTATTGTAAAGCCCTTACGGACAATGCTTTATAGAAATTCACCTGAGAGCAGAATTTGGCACTAAATTTTATTAGAGAAGCAAAGTTTATGTATTTTGTTTGAGGGTTTTTTTTTTTTATTTTCCATGTCCCACAGATACCTGGTCACAGTTTAAAAGTAACATAAAGACTATATTGCCTCACTTTGAACACTTTTGTTTATTACTTTATTTATCTGACTACATGGTTAAGCTACTGAAAAAATGAATAATTAAACATGGTAAATCTCTGAACAAAAGACATGTTATATTTCTGCTTCTGTGTGGTGGGAGTGATCTGTATAAGTACAGAATTTGCCATACTGTTGCAAAAAGCCCTCAGTTTCATAAATCTGATGGCTTTGAATATTGGGTCCCATACTAGGATAGCTTTTCCTTTCTGAACCTGAGAAATAAGTAAAGTTCAGCATTTCTGATCTCCCCCTAGAGCCCAGAAAATACGGCAGCACAAGAACACGCTGAACTGTTTCATTTCTGGTGTTTCTGATGAACGGGGCTCACAAATGCAAAGATTTCAGCAATGAAGTAGTAGAGTACGCTAGGACAGACAAAAGTTGTATGCTGGTCTCCTTTCCCAGGGATCATTGACTTTTAAAAACCCATTGCTGAGAGTTGGGATTATAATACACAGATAAATCAGCTTTAGTTCCCTCTGGTTTTCCCTTGAAAATGCATATGTAGGG